AAAAAAAAAAAAAAAAAAGAGAGAGAAAAAAGAACACAAGATTTTAGAAAAAGAGGAACAAGAAAAGGATTCAACCCAGTTCTTGGGATTTTCATCTGTGACATGGTTTTTTTAAGCCTACTAGATTACTAGATGTTGTATTTGTCAATTTGTCAATTTATCAACTTGTCAATTTGTCAATTTGTAAAATTGTCAATTTGCCAATATGTCCATTTCTAGTGGTCAAATTTGTAGTTTCTACGCTTGTAGTTGTTAGGGCATACTCACACTAGGCCCTCAAAATCGCAAAACCACAAAATGATCGGCCAGATCGAGTTCTTGTAAAGACAGGACTAGATCTGGCCGCTCATTTTCGGATTTTGCGATTTTTTGAGGACCTAGTGTGAGTATGCCCTTAGTTGTTAGTTTGCTCAACCATTCAAGGACAAATTTTGGCTGTAGTCGGGATGGGCTTGGCCGGGAGTGCCTCGCCCTGCCTGTGGCCACGGCATAAATGTAAGGGACGCCGGACCCATTTTCCGGCACGCAATGAATGGTTGTTTGTTAAGGGGAAAAAAAAAAAAAAAAAAAAAAAGGATTCAACCCAAAAAAAAAAAAAAAAAAAAAAGAAAAAAGAAAAGGAGCGTCACGCCGTCAGCATCTCCTCCTTCGAAAATGACACGTAAATACAACGTACGTTTACAATCGCTGTACCTACACTGAAACTCGTACCAAATACAGCCATAATGACCTCACGTTCTCTTCGAGGGAAGAAGACTGTCGTCCCAGAGCATGCATAGGCATTTCCCCTACAGAAAAGACTGATACCACGGGGGGCGTGGGGCCGCAGCCAGGACGGCGGTGTACTGGCAGTGGGTCTTTGACAGCGTCCAATGGACCAGATACATTCAACCTGCCAGAACTCCATGCCGCACCCCTGTTATGTTGTGTGTTTTTTTTTTCTTTTCTTTTCTTTCTTACTCGAGAATGGGGACTTTACAAACTTAATATTCTACCTGCCAGAACTCCATGCTGCACCACTGTGTGTCTTTGACAGCGTCCAATGGACCAGATACATTCGACCTGCCAGAAAACCTTTCTCGGCCATTTCGCGAAGATCAAGGGCCTCGCTGCACTACTCTCCTAATGTGCAAAATGAGAATGAATATTCCGCTACAACATGGACAGCTACACCGCCTTATTTTTTGTCTTTTGTGCACGTGGAGCGTAGTGCAGCGGCGCCCCAAGTGTAGTATCTGTTTTGGTCAATGTTATGTCAGATGCGTGGTCCATCGGACCTTTCCCTCACCGTACTTGTACACTGAGAAATACTTAGAGGCTCGCCACACAGGCTGTCGAATGTCGAAAATTTTCGACACTCGGGCCGTCGACAGTTTTCCCCCTCTTCGCCACACAGGCTGTCGAGGGGCAAGGTTTTTKGTCATGGACAGGCGGACTCCACCGCACGGGTGTCACGGAACAGTCCCTGACAATGCAAAATAGAACGCAATTTTCGACACCCCGGCGGGCCACTGTCGAATTTCGGTCACCCGCAGGCTGGGGGAAACGAGTGCTGGAGGGCGGCTGTCGAAAGTGTCATTCTGACACCTGTCGAATTTTTTTTGAAACGCAATTCGTCGAAAGTCTATGTGGCTATGCAAAACTGTCGAAAACTCGGTTTTCGACAGCCTGTGTGGCGAGTGGTCCCCCACAGAAGAATTCAAACACTACCCTCACAGAACTCAAACACGGCGCGCGTTTTTTTTTACTTACTTTCGGAAACCTCCAAAAGAAGCCAAAACAAAACCTCCAAAATTATGGTATTATTAAAAAAGAAAAGGAAAAAAAAAAGAAGAAGACACGAGGGTGCAACTGGAGGAGAAACCGTATTCACACGAAGAAGACACGAGGGTACAGCTGGAGGAGAAACCGTATTCACACGAAAAAGTAGATGTCCCGACATGGGGCCTCGCTGCACTACTCTTGAAATGCACAAAGGACAAAAATCATGGCCGTGTATCTTTCCATACTCTAGCGGAAGATTCACTCTCGTTTTGCACATTTCTAGAGTAGTGCAGCGAGGCCCGTGGATTACACTGTTAGGGCCGACTCGTCGCAGAACGATCAGCATTTCTTTTTTTTTTTTTTCTTTTTTTTTTTTTTGGAAAGCATGAACTTTTATTATAATAACAACAGGACGAGGCCGGGGACCTCACAATTCTACCCGGAGTTATCCTGGCAGCCTCAGCCAGTTTACCTTACGAATTTTGCTAAAGTACAAGTCCTCTGCGCAAAATAACCCCCAACTATTGCCGGAAATCAGGTCCAGCGTCCTGCCCTACGAAGATTACTTCCCAAAAAACTATCCACTTGAAGCCCAGTAAAAATTCCCAATTCTTTTTTTTTTTTTTTTTTTTTTTTTTTTCGGAGAACCATATGAGCATTTATTTCACAAGGTCAAAAGAGACAGGGCCGGGAAACCCCACAACAATCCCGAAGTACTGGGGCCATTACCCAGATAGGCTCCTGGAAACCGGGTCCAGTGTCCCTTTTGGCCAGAAAAACCAGCTCCCCAAATAAAAATAGAAGACTCCGACACCCATACCAGTTATATCTCCAAACTTTCCTAACCTCACTTGGTGGGGAGCTATAACTTCTGGTGTTAAACTGGAAGGGTAGAGGTTAGGAAAGTTTAACAGGACTCTATAGTGGGGAGATAAAACTTTCCTAGACTTGCATGTTTAACAGGACTCTATGGTGGGGAGCGCTTTAGCGCTCCCCATGTCCCTGAGGGGACAACAACCAAGGACAAAACTGCAACCTACCATTTGAGTCCAGTTTAACCACACTAGAATTCCTTCCCCACGTATCCCAAAACCACTTCCTAGACTTTTGGGTGCCTGGAACTTTGTGCCTGAGGCAATCACTCCGAATTGTGGTTCTAATCTGCTGGGTCACCAACAGCTTAATCTGAGCATCCGTGGTCCCTGACGACCTAAAAAGTAAATTGTTTCGATCGTCCCAAATGATTTTCAGAATGATTGCCCTCAAGCATTGAGCCACATAGAGCAAATCCTGCTCAGATGTTTTCTCTTTGTTGTGAGTGCCTGAGATTATCCATTCGTCTGTCCACTCAAAAGTTTTTGCTGAGAACTTCTCCCAATGCGATATCCACCAATCCCAAATTCTACGTGACGCTGGACAAAGTAAGCCACAAATGTCTGTTTGTCTCCCAAGGCCAACGGCAGCGGACACATACTGTTGAAATTGGCATTCCCCTAGCCGCTAGGTTAACTGCAGAAGCTGTGGCCAAAAAAGATTGAAGCCATACAATACTTGCTAGCCTTTGAGAAGGGATCGCTTTATACTGCCGCCACAGCGAGGCTAATTGCTCTTCCGAAATCATCAAGAGATCCCCTTCCGCTCTGCGTTTAGCTACTGATACTGCAGGGGGCTTAGCAACCTTCGCCCTTTGAATTGATACTCCCACCTTTGCTTTATAGTTTGCCAAACTGATCTTCTTTTGCTCCTGTCCGATGAGTCATCCCAAGGCACGTATATCCACTGCCGCTTCCGCCAGTGGGAGTAATCCCATTGGTAGTTCAGCAGCCCATGTAGTTCCCCTTGCCCCAACAATTCTTTTGAGGTGCGGCTGAACTACTATTTCCACTAAGCTACTCATCTCAAACAACCGCACAGACTTTTGTCCTGGAGATAGTTCCTTGGTGAATTCAACCGAACTATCAATTTGCCATTCCATTGCCAGCCAGCCTTCTTCTCCCAGATCTTGAGTAACGTGATACACCACTGGTGGATAAGAGGAGCTACAGATGCCCCATAGGCCAGCTGCCGGAATACACTCCTCTGTCAAAATCTGAATCCATGAAAAAGGGATCGCTTGTTGAACTACTTACTATTAGCCTATTTTTAACGTCTCTGAGTCTTCCTAGACTGAGCTTAATTTGGTCCAAGGTTTTCCACATTCCTTTCGACTCATCCCACAGATCTTTCAATTTTACCACACCTCGCTCTATCTAGGATTTACCAAACTTCCCTGGGGAGTCATGGGCTGAGAATGTCTTCCCCTCTTTATCTGTTATCAGCGGGTTTTCAAAGATGATTTGGTTCAAG